AGGCCACTCGGACCAGCCCATCACCTCATCACAAGAACCATGGGAGTCTTTAGGGTTTGGGGTTTGGGGTTTAGGGTTTAGGGTTTAGGGTTTAGGGTTTAGGGTTTAGGGTTTGGGGTTGAGTGTTTAGGGTTTAGGGTTTAGGGTTCAGGGTTTTAGGGCTTAGGGTTTAGGGGTTAGGGTTTAGGGCGGCCCCCCTTCGCTAGCAAAGTGCGACCTGTAAAGGTTCTTTTCTTTTTAAGTCTAAGTTTAGATGAGGGGCTTCATACGGTTTGTGTAGGCACTTGGTATGGGGGCAGCAAGGATAAGACTAGGGAATTGTGTGTATAACAACAGACTGTTATCAAATACTTATGCAGGGAGAGAACGGGGACATGTGAAACCCTAAACCCAAAACCCTCTTGTAGTGCTTAGGGCTGTAGGATGCTGGGCTCATCGGATTCATGGCTTAGCATGTAGGGTTTGGGATACAGAGTTTAGGCTTCGAGGTTGAGGGTTCAGGGTGGAGGGGTAGTTCCTGGTTTAGGGTCGAAAGACGACCGGAGGCGCTAGATCACGTCCTTGAAGCCCCATCAAGGACCGACAAGTTTCTGTGTTCAAAGCGCTATGACAGACATAAGCTCGAAGCCTTCCTCCCCACAGGCCATTAAGTGAACTGAGCTTTCTTTTGGAAAAAAGGGTTGCCTACGTTGCTGACGTGCGGATCTTAAGTAAATATATACATTATTCATCCGATTCTGAGAAGGACTGGTCTGCAGATGGATTTCTGTGTTTTCGACCTGTTTGCCATGGCCAAAGCAAGAGAGGGAGATGCTGATGCATGGCACTCACGTGAGTCGCTGACAAAGAAACGTCTGAAGCGACTTCTGCGGCAGGGTTTGAGGCACTTCGAAACCCTAAACCCTGAACCCTAAACCTTAAACCCTAAACCTTAAACCGTGGTCCGAGATTTTTGGGGGGCTGCGCATGAGTTGGCTGCTCTTCATCGGGACAAGCTCGCTGGCAAGTCCTTTGACAACAGGGCAGCATGGGAGCCAATCCAGAAAAACAGTGGCCCTGGTCTGCGGTCTTTGCTGGGTCTTTACCTTGGAAGGCGCAGTGCTGGGAGTTGAGGGCAAAAGAAGCCTGGATCCGCTGACACGCGACATCGCTGCGGAAAGCTTTCTCGATCCCAGATGTGAAATTGCTCCAAAGTTCTAAAGCCCTGGTTGCGTTCACCCCGAAGCCCAAAACCCTAAACCCTAAACCCTAAACCCCTAAACCCCTAAACCCTTAAACCCCTAAGCCAAGCATGTACTGTGCGACTTGTCAGCCACCCTCCATTCCCGGCCCTTGCCATCAAAAATCCGGAAGCCTCCCAGGAGCCTGATGATTGCAGCCCGAGATCCTCTCCCACACCACCAAACAAACAAGAACTGCTCTATAAGGGCTCCATGATATGAAGGTTAAGGATCACTTTAAAGGGCTCTATAAGGGCCCCATGATATGAAGGGTCCCTTTAAAGGGCTCTATAAGGTTAAGGATCACTTTAAAGGGCGCTATAAGGGTTCCATGATATGAAGGGTCCCTTTAAAGGGATCTAGAAGCGTTCCATTGAGGGCTCTATAAGGGTTCCATGATATGAAGGGTGCCTTTAAAGGGCTCTATAAGGTTGAGGATCACTTTAAAGGACTCCAGAAGGGTTCAAAGCACTGCCAAACAATGACAAGAAACAGAATCAGAACACAGCATAAAGAGTCATCAACACCCAAACGCCCAAACTTTGCAAAACCCTAAACCCCGAATCCCAAGCCAAAATCCCAATCCCTGAACACTAAACCAATCCTTACATAACCCACGTTCGCCTTCCCATCCACGATGAACCCTAATCCCTCTCCCTAAGCCTAAGTCCTACAGCCGTTACAGAGCCCTACGGGACCCGAGAACCCTTCACCTTAGGGACCCCTTCTGGAACCCGTTTGGAAGCCTTATCAAGCCCAATTGACCCTGAACCCTGAACCCTTCACCTTAAACACTAAAACCAAACCAGCAAAAAAGGCACCCTAAACCCTAAACCCTAAAACAACAAAAAAGGCACCCTAAACTCTAAAGCCTAAACCCCAAGCCCTAAGCCCAAAACCCTAAGCCCGAACCCTCCACCGGAGAAGGCCCAGATGCAGGGAAGCTTTGCCTCCTGGACTTTGGACTCGTCGCCCAGGCTCGGCTCGATTTCTTTCGTTGTGGCCTCAGGCTTCCTTCTATAGCGGGGTTTAGGGTTGAGGGTTTAGGGTTTAGGGTCTCCCAGTGGGCACTATTTCCTTTTTTGTGGTTTTCCGGTTCCTTGTAAAAAGTCAATCTCAAAAAGGGAGTATTTTTTTTTTGTATTCCTAGGTTTCTGGGGATCCTCGAGAAGGGTTCCTTCAGGGGTAGGGGTTTGCCTGCATGGGTCCTTTTCAGGACCACAGGGGCTCTGCAGGGATTCTTGGACACGGTTGATGATATAAACCCTGCATTACCCATAACAAGGAATTTAGGGTGTAGGGTTTCGGGTTTAGGGTTTAGGGGATATACTATACCATAATCCCCATAGTTTAGGGTGCTTAAGGTAATGCAGATTTATATCAGCAACAGTAGGGACGAAGGGGTTTCGGGCTTAACTATAAGGGTCTTGGTTTAGGGGTCTCTAGGCCCCCAGGCTCTGGAGCTTCTCTTTGCTTAGAAGCAGGTTTAGGGTTTAGTTTAGGGTAAAGGGTTTAGGGTTTAGGGTTTTGGTTATTTTCTGAGGGTTTAGGGTTTTGTTTATTTTGGCTTTGGGTTCTTTGGTTTAGCACAGACCATTTCTTTTGGTTTTAGGCTTTCGTGATCTTTTGATTCGATCTCTATGGTTCTCATAAAATGGCCTGAATAAGTCGTAATCGTATCCTTTGTAGCCTTTACACGGTTATGCTGTAAAATGCACCAAAACCTTCTTAGAATAGTGAAGAGGCCGCTATTTTGGCTAGTCTTGCTCCAATGACATCGTAGTCTTCACAAAGTCGTTTCCAAGGCATCACACTTTTCTGCGAGTCAAGGAAATCCTCCTAAGCCCCAACCCAAATCACAAGCCCCAATCCCTAAAGCCCAAATCCCAAACCCCAAACCTTAACCCTTAAGCAAAAAAACACCCTAAATCTAAAAACTTAAAATCCAAACTCTTCGTGGGCTTAAGGCTGAGATCCTTCCCTAAACCCTGGACACTATACCCTAAGCCCCAAACCCCTAAACCCCTCAACAACCCTAAACCCGAAACCCTAAACCAATCTGTGTCGATGCCGGTGTGCAGGTGCCTCGTGAGGATCGGGAGCTCATCATCTCCGCTGTGGTGCACCTGGGTCTCTTTGCCGCACCTTTGTTGTTCTACCGGGTTTAGGGGTTCCTTTAAAGGAACTGATAAGGGCACCTATGAGAGATCTATAAGGATACTACGAGGCCTAGAGGTTTGGAGTTTAGGCGAGTTTAGGCTTAAGAATTTAGGGTTTAGGGTTCAGGGTGGGCGTTCTGACGGCTTCGTGTGTCGACATGGAGTTCGAGAGATTGCTGCTCGAGTGTAAGAGCCTCGGTGTTCAAAAGCTGTTTGATTTCATGCCCAGCTTGTGCTCAGTGGTTGATCGTAGGCCACACCATCACCATCACAATCATCATCACCACCGCCGGCTGCAGACATGACCATCACCCTCACCAGCACAAGCGCAATCACCATCACCATCAGTGCCATCGCCGCCACCACCATCGCCATAGCCCTTAATGATGTCATCGCCGTCAAAATCGCCAAAATCATCCCAAAGTCATCAATGTGTCACATTCTTCCGATCATCGTCCTTCTCACTACACCACGAAGAACAGCTCCACCATAGGGCTCCAAATAATTGCCACTACTATTTTGGGGGCTCCTTGCTATAATTATAGTATCGTACACCGCAAAACCCGACTGTAATTCCGAAGAGACCCCAATACCATCCTACCCTTATAGATCCCTTATAGTAGCTAGCCCCTCTAGACCCCTTTAAAAGGAACCCTGTCCTAACTATGAAGGCCTCTATATGACGCGCCCCAGGAACGCAGAACTGAACCCTAAACCCTAAACCCTAAACCCTAAACCCTAAACCCTAAACCCTAAACTCCTAAACTCCTCAACTCCTAAACCCTAAACCCTAAACCCTATACCCTAAACCCTACGCCCTACACCCTAAACCCTAAACCCTATATGACGCGCCCGCAGGAACGCAGAACTGGGAGGCTCTGATCGCCGACTTCCAGCAGCTCCGGTTTCTGGCTGAAGATGTGGACCAGGCCGGTCGCTGCCCAAAGCAGGAGCCCGAAACCCTAAAGCCTAAACCCTAAGCCCCTAAACCCGTAAACCCCCCAAACCCTAAACCCTAAACCCTAAACCCAAAATCCTAAACCCTAAACCCTAAACCCCTAAACCCTGAACTCTACAGCTTAAGCCCTAAACGCCGAAGATGTGGACGTTTATGCGGGAGGGGGGGTCCAATAACTCTTGACAACTAGTGACCACCATTGTCAACTATCGTAATAGTAACATTACGAAAACTAGTGGGGCATTCAAAGCGGCCGGTATAAGTCTTCCCTGCACGATCTCTTCATGTGTATCTTCCTTGGGTGAACCCTGAACCCTAAACCCCGAACCCTTAACCTAGCATGACTCTTCAAAGACTTTCATGCGGGCCGGGCTTTGGATGGTCCAAGTCAGAGTCCATAGCCCTACGCCCAAATTGCCGATCACGAAGCACCCAGTCGCAAACCCTAAAGCCTAAGCCCTAAAACCCTGAACCCTAAACCCCAAACCCTAAACCCTCAACCCTCAACACTAAACCCTAAAACCCTAAACCCTAAACCCGAACCTCTGAACCCTAAACCCTAAAACCCTGAACCCCTCAACCCTAGCCCAGACCCTCAGATAACCCCTAAACGCTCGTGCCGTGAAACCCGCACACCATCTCGAAGGCTCTCAGTTGCTGTCTTTAACCCTGACCCGCGAACCTCTCTGAACCTTGGCTTCGGTCCCACAAAGCCCTGCGGAGCCGTGTAAAACCCTCAAGCCTGCGCTACTTGGAGGTTGATGGGTAGTCATAAGTGGGGTTTAGGGTTTAGGGTTTAGGGGGGTTAGAAGTAGGGTAACTACTCGTATAGCTATAACCCATATTAGGGGATTTCTAGCCCTTCGTAGAACTACCCAAGAACTTCCAAGTATAAGCCGTGCTAGAAGAGGCTTGATCATACGGGCCTAGGGTTTGGGTTGAGGGTTTAGGGTTGAGGATTTAGGGTTTGGGGTTCAGGGCTCAGGGTTTAGGGTTGAGGATTTAGGGTTTAGATGTCAGCAAGCTTGACAAACCAGCCTCAAACAAAACTAAAACGCGTTGCCTCAACACCCTAAAGCCGAAAACGCCACTTGAGCCCTAACAACCACTTCAGCCCTAAACCCGAAATCCTAAACCCGAACCCCGAACCCTGAACCTTCATAAGCACCTTAAGACAACCTGATCCCTAAAAAGGCGGCCTTGGTGCCGATCCTCCAGCGTGTTCTGGGGCCCTACTTGAAAGGCGGCGGCGCGCAGGAGCGGACATTTCAGAGTCCACAAGCCTGGCGTAGGTTTTTTGTTTTTGTTCTTTGGTCTGCGTTTTGTTGAGGGTGGGTTGGGTTTTTTGTTAGAGGGGTGGGTCAGTGCTTGTATGTCTGTTTCTTTTGTTGCCGGGGGTTGGCGGTTGGCGTTTGAAGTGTTTTTTGAGTCTCGGTGTGAGGGCCAAGGTTGTAAGAGAGTCTTCGAACCATTTGTTCGAAACTTAGGAATCCTTCAGGGGACCCATCATGGAACATGTATCCGTACTAGGATGTTCAGTAGTATCATTTTTATTTTTTGGTTCCTCATATAACAACTAAACATTCAAAATATATATATATATATATATATATATTTACTTTTTTTCGCAGCAGTTGGTTACTGAGCAGCTTCGTGTATAAGCGCCCTAGGCCCTAAACCCTTTGCAGGATCCCCTGTGGATCTTAAACCTTAAACCCCAAAGACTCAGACTCCACAGCGCATCCCCGAAAGTTGGAACATGGATTTAGGATGATGAGTGCTAGGATCCCTTATACAAACCCTATAGAAACCCTCATAGATCCCTTGAAGGAGCCCTAAAAGGGACCCTAAACCCTAAACCCTTTACTTACCTTAAGGGCATGAGGATAAGACTGTTCTCCAACTTTCTGGCTGCTATAGGCTCTAAGCCCTAAGCCCTAAACCGAAGCCCTAAGCCCTAAACCCTAAACCCTAAACTCTGAGCCAATGCCCCAAACCCTAAACCCTAGACTCTGAGCCTAAACCCTAAACCCTAAACCCTAGACTCTGAGCCTAAACCCTAAACCCTAAACCCTAGACTCTAACCCTAAACCCTAAACCCTAAACCCTAGACTCGGAGCCTAAACCCTAAACCCTAA